GAATTTACCAGATGTCCGTTAAATTGGAGGAATGGAGAAATTTCTAGGAATGTCATTCAGATGTGCTTCAGGACCGCTTTGGTTCCCTAGTTCATTTCCAGTAATACCAGCATGACTAGGAATCCAAATAGAAGCAACAGAAAAGCCGAAAAATTACTCGAAATAAAAGATTTTTAAAATTGTTTATCACATTATACATAATTTTTTTGGATCTGATGAACGTTTTCTTAATTTATTTAATTTGCTCAAACAAATAACTTTAATCTTATACTTTGATCAATTTTTCATTAAATAAAACTTTGAACAACGTTTGACCCACTAATAAATCATATTTTCTCCGCCTTGATTACTGGGAAAGATTGCTGACTAGCCGTCTCTACGTCAATCTCCCTAATTCGATTAGCTCTGCCCAATCTAATATGGCGGCGTTAAAAGTATTCGACAGCACGCTCCGAGTAATTATGACAGAATGTTGGGAAGAGCAAAGACCAGTCAATAGATGGAGATAATCCGCTTTAAGAAAAATTCTATATTCACGAGCAAAATCTTATTATAAAATAAGGAAATTTCAATAAAAATTCTTTTAAGCTTCCGCATCTCGAGAATGCTTTGCTTAATAAAAGGAGATGATATTACTCAAATTGGATTTTAATCATACTGATATTTTATTATAATTTTGTAGAATAATGTTTTTTAAAAATTTCACAAAATATTTGTCAGTGTAGTAATTGTAAATTGTATCTTTATTATTTCTGTAATCTATACATTTTCTGTTTCCTCAATAGCCTGCAAATTTTGCGGAATACCACCCAAAATACACACTTTTATGCAAATGCCTAATAATGTTAACGCTTAAATTTATTTAGGAAGAGAAAAAAATTTGAACCTAACCAACAATTCGTATTTATAGTGGTTTACTGTAATTTTCAAATTATACGAATATTCTCAATATTCTCAATATACTCAATAAGTACAGTATCAAGTTAAGTTAATGATTTTTTAGCTTTGAACCAAATGATTTTTGGTGTTTGCGCAATCGTGCGACCCTTACCACCTTTCATCTCGCTAACTTGTGTGTCGCGGCCTTCAATCTTTACTCCCAGCGTGCCTAAAGCAGTTTTCACACTTTCAATTATACCATAAAATAGAACATAAAATATTCGAAAAATAGCAGTTAGAAAAGAACCACAGCTATATGTATATTACTATCTGTGAGAAAATCCATTGTGACTGACGTTGTAATGAAGCGACGATAGAATATGCATTGCGAACAATAAACGTTTCAGCGGGAAAACAATGCTGGCGCCCTCTGCACGGCCGGTTGGACGACTAAAGCCGACTGGCGGCGGATGTTTACGGTCTGCCCATTCGCATTATATTAAATTTTTCATCTAACAGTTAAAGTAGTTTCCATTGTTATCGACTTTTTATTATGCGCGGCCGCCCAACGGTAAAACTCGTTGACTGTAAACCGACATGAAGACTAAATTGAGCTAAGTTCACGCCCGTAGATAGTACAGAAAACTGTAATATTTTTTTGTGTCGATTTGCTAGTATTTCGGATATTGATGAAAAATCCATCATCATTTAGACAAAAAAAGATAGAACAAAATTAAACACACTATTTTGGAATTGTTGACACGTTGTGTTAAAACTACATATTTTCAATTAAATAACGAATTTTTTCAACAAGATTTCGGTATGGCAATGGGATCAACTCTTCTTTTATGGAAGATTCTGAAAATAATACAATAAATAGTTTTTCAAAAAAACGTGGAATATGGCTGCGTTATGTTGATGATATTTTTGCAATATGGCAACATAACGTTTCTGAAGTAGACATGTTTTTGGATTATGTACATTTTCGCGAACCAACCATAAAATTTACTTTAGAAGTAGAGAGAGATAATCGTTTGCCATTTCTTGACGTTTTAGTGTCAAAGTTTCAAAATAAAATAATTTTAGATGTTTACAGAAAACCAACAAATAGAGACAGATACTTAAATTTCAGATCTAATCACAGTATAAGTGTAAAAAAGGTGTTATAAAAAGTTTATATGATAGGACAAAAATAATATGTTCAGACGACAATTCACTACATAAAAAATACACGACGACTATCCACCATCGTTTATTGACAAAAAATTAAACGAAATACAAACCCCAAATCATACAAGACAGAATACACACAATGATAACAATACAAAATATATACAATTTACAATTCCATACATACGAGGCGTTTCGGAAAAAATAAGAAGGATAAGAAAACAATATAACAAAGGAACATCTTTCAAAACACAAAATATACTTGCATCCATTTTATCACACACTAAACTAATGGATACTGATGTAATATACAAAATACCATGTGAATGCGATAAAATTTATATTGGCGAAACATCTAGTCCCTTAAATGTTCGAATTAAAGAACATAAATATTGTTTAAGAAAGGGAGATTTTCACAAATCTAAGATTTGTCAGTATTCATGGGACACAGGGCACAGAATAAATTTTAATAATGCCAAAATTATAATGAAAGAAGCGAAAGTATAAAAGCCATATATTATTCAAATAATGTAAGGTTTTGTTTTGTTCCTACTAATAGAGTTATCATTTTTGTCCTTCGATTTGAATGTCCTATCGCTGCTCTCTCAAGCTAAATGAGGTGTAGAAATCAATTTCCCGTAGTCCCTAGGGACCCTTCTGTGACAGGTATTAGACGTAGGAATATATTTCCGTATCCCGGTTTTCAATCGAAATGGCCGGATTCAAAATAAGAGTCCTTATAAGGGACAATACATTTATTTTGAATCAGTGTCTGATAAGCAGTATTTTATTTACTAGACGGAGATATAGACGGAGATATATAAAAAAATTGGAATTTTTTTAAAAAAATATTCGATTTTTTTTTTAGTTTTTTGTTATAACGCATATTTTTTTGATAATACATAGGTAGTAGATTAAATTTAATTTTTAAAGAATGTCATTTCGAATCTCAAATAAATATCAAAAACTATCAATTTCGAAACGCTTTCACAAAAATGTTTTTATTATTGTTGTCTCCAGACATTTGGATAATTCCAAATAAACATAGCGATTTGTTTAGGAATAAAGAGCTGTATAAAATTGTGCTTAGTCCCGACAGTATTTTACAGTAAATTACCCCCGAAATTCGATGCTTCACACCCCTCTAAAGCATCCCTTTAAAAATAAGAGTAACTTTCCGGAGAATAAGGGTTCTAAACGGGATAAAAAGGGATGGAGCAAACTGGAAAAGTACTATTTTGCACTCATTAAATTTCTCCAGCCCATTAACCTCGCACTTAAACTTTCGATTGTTTTCCTCCTCCTTTTCCTTCACATTTCCTCACTCTTTCTCACATTGTTTTTCACGAGAATATGCAAAAAAGAACGCACTTCACTACTTTCTGTCGAATTGCTAACGGTGTTGCCATTGTAGTAAATTTTTCGTACTAGTCTCGAATAATTTATGTTTATAATTTTCGGTTAATTCATAGTCGGCGTTATACAGAGTGGTCCGAAGTAAACAACACGCTTCAAAAAGCCACACATGAAAGATCTTCTTTCCTTTATCCCTCCTATATACCATATTTTTTATAAAAATTAAAGAAAACACTATTAACAGGCAATGTAAAGTCAACAAATCCCTTAATGACAAAGAAAAATGTACCGATGAACCAATTTATATCTAAAATTTCAAATATTTTCAGAGATAAAATGGTTCAAGCCCAAAAAGTATAAACAAACATTTTTAAAAACGATCACAGTTTTATTTTGAGTTACTTTAGTTTGCAATTATACAATTTAAAATATAATAAAGCACTGTGTCCAGTTTTCTTTTCCAGCTTGTTTTATTTTAATTAAGTAACATTAAAAAATGTTAACTCTCATTTTCTCATTACAGTTGAGGGTTGGAACCTTTGGTGTTACACAGCAAAATAAAAACACTAAATCACCACAATACACCAAAACACTTTTACTTTTACACTGGACGCGCGTTTCGCTAACCATTTTAGCATTATCAGCAGACGATTATAAACTAAAGTACAATCTACAAGTTGAGCGTTTATATACTCGCTCAGTGGGCACCGAGTGGGCGTGGCAAAATCTAGCCAACCGAGTCAGAGCCAACTGAGCGTAACAGTTAGATTTCCGCCACTAGAGTAGTAGGAACAAAGAACTTGAAGGAATTGGACCGTTAAGCGTAGTATGAACAGAGTCAACGGTCCAATTCCTTCAAGTTCTTTGTTCCTACTACTCTAGTGGCGGAAATCTAACTGTTACGCTCAGTTGGCTCTGACTCGGTTCGCTAGATTTTGCCACACCCACTCGGTGCCCACTGAGCGAGTATATAAACGCTCAACTTGTAGATTGTACTTTAGTTTATAATCATCTGCTGATGATGCTAACTTGGTTAGCGAAACGCGCGTCCAGTGTAAAAGTAAAAGTGTTTTGGTGTATTGTGGTGATTTAGTGTTTTTATTTTTCTCTCATTTTCTCTATAATTATCTTCTAGGCCTTGATCCACTTCTGAACCCCTCAACTATCTTGTCAACACAATTTTTATCAATGTTGACATGAATGGATTATTTCGAATACAAATGTCTCGAGAACAATTACTTGTATCGATTTATACCAAGAGACCTTTTTTACGTAAAAAATGACCGAAATGTATATTTTTTCACCCAATAGTTTTATACAGGTACGGACGAAAAGTTATTACTCTTTAAACTAGTTAAAAAATACATATTTTTTTAACTTACATCATAAATAACTTATGTTTATTTATAAGGACTTTTTTACTTATTCGAATATCCAGAAAAAAATTCGGATTCCGTGTATACAGGATGAGACCACCACATAATATAAAAAAATATTTCAAACACAGAACTTCAAAGCTTTTTGGTTCTAATCAGCTCACTACAAGCAAACTGTAAATGCTATACACTAATTATTATTATTTTGTCTTGTTTCAGGTGTCATGGATAAGGAAACATGACTACCACTTGCTGACGGTGGGCGTGGCGACCTACAATGCCGACGACAGGTTCATGGTGGAACACGTGCGCCACCTACAGAACTGGGGACTGATGATCAAACACGTGCAACCTTCGGACGCCGGCCTGTACGAATGTCAGGTGTCCACGCATCCACCAACTAGTATAGTTGTTGAGTTAAAAGTAACAAGTAAGTTTTTAATTTCTTCTTCTCTGACGTCAGCAACCACTCTTTTTTTCGTTTAATATTTTATTAGGAGACATGGTTTTGACCGAAATTATTGCACAGGATGTTTTAAAGATAGGGTAAAAAAACTCTTTGATTAACCCTGTATAACAAGTCAAATACTAAATCTTAGAATAAACTGAATTTACGAATTAAAGTTGATATAGAGATATACGGTTTGCTTAAAAAATCAAGGAAATGAAGCTAAAAATTAAAAAAATAACATTTTAAACTTGATTAAATTTTTTTTCCGTTTCGTTTCTTTTTTGTATCTCAGTGTATTTGTTTTATTCTTAAAGAGCCTTTGAGTCAACACAGGTATTTATTTGACATTCTTTTTCTGTTTCTTTTAAAGATCCAGTTGTTAAAGCCAGTGATGTTAAATATTAAAAAAAAGAGTTTGTTTACATTTTATTTGTACAGGGTGTCCCACTAAGAATAGTGGGATTTATAACTAAAGAGGCTATGAGAAATTGTTGGAAATTATTTTCAAGTTCGTAGAACGACCGCTAGGGGGCGCAACTGCAACAAAAAAATAAGAAAATAGAGTTTTTACACCATTTCGCCTAGATAAGGTTGTGTAAATTTTGAATATTTTTTGTTAGAGCCATTTTCCCCTATCTACCAAAATAAAGTGGCGGGGGAAGCTTAGATCTGTTTTTATTTAAATATTAATAATTCTGGACTGGATGATCGGAATGCAACAAGTGAGGGCTCGTTTAGTTAAAGAGTTAAAGAGCGTTTCTTACTCTATATTGTACCATATAAACAATCATAATAAAGCTTTTGAACGTAGACGCTAGGGGACGTTGTCTTACAATTTAAAAAACATTGCACGTTTTTTCAAAAAAATTAAATGCAATAGTATATGTAATTTTAACTGATAGTAAAAAGTAGTAAAAGCTTAAAAAGTAAGCGAAAACCGCATCTTGATATCTTCTTTCAAACCGAAGATATTAGCAAAATTATAATAAATACCAAAAATAAGTCCTTAATTACCTGTTTTTACAACACGGTATCAGTAGCCCTCTTGATTATGCCAATTCCAACAAAAAAATATGATAGAAACAGTTAGTTTATTTTAAAATCGAAGAAATACCAGATGTATTAATATGTAATAATTAAGATATTAATAACAGTGAACAAGAAACGATGATTCGTTGAAGTCATGGTAGGCTTTGAAAAAAAGTTGCTTTTCACGTAAAAGTATAAACGTCAAACTGTTATTAGATCAACATTTTGGTAGTCTTGGCCGCGTATTTTATCTTTTGATTGCTTTTTCAAAATGCCAACAACTTCAGCTACTTCAAATAATGAAGGTATTTTGAAAAAAGCAATTAAAAGATAAAAAACGCGGACGACTATCAAATATCACAACAATTGAATATGTCAATAAAACCTAATTTATGTAACATACTATCATACCAAATCTCGTTTTTTTTATCTAAAAAAATTAAAAAAAATATATAGGGATGAACCACTTTTGCGACACACCCGGTATATTTTTCCATAGAATATCTGGTTAAACGACAAAAAAAAACACGAATTCCCGATAACAGAAATCTATAACGAAAAAAAAACAAACACAAATAGGACATAAACAACAAAAACTGAAAGAGACATAGGGCTGTGCTGCGGCGTGTAGAGGAAAGGGGGTAAATAATCCTTCAGTTTGTAACCGGACACATTCTAAACGACAGTTAATCAATCAGGCGTCTGTCGATGTCATGTGTGTGTATCAGTCGAAGTACGGTCCTTTTTTTTCATCCGTTAAGCCTCCACTTTTCTCTATGTGTTCGATATTATTTTTCCCCGACATTTTAACGATGTCCCGACACAAAACCCTTCCCGACTGACGAGAGGCTTCAGATTCATTAGGAATATTTTCCCGGTTGTTATTATTTGTGTCGCGTTGGTCTGGAAGTGACGTATATGCACGTTTATAATAGGGTATATATGTATATTTAAAAGAAGAGATATTGAGAATGTTTGACGTTTACATTTCTGATATTTTTTCGATTTTGTAATATTGCATGTAACTGAAATCTATGGATCTGTGTGTTAATTTATACTAAGGGCTGGCAAAGGTTAGTCTTGGGTCGAGATTTCCGTATGTAAGAAGAGTACAATGCGTTTATAATGTACTGAACAAAGAGAGAACAGTAAACACGTTGCCAAACGTACGAAATAAACCGAGAAACTGTGCACATCGCTGAGAGACTTGGAAGGGGATATAGCAGATTTGTCGTAGTTGACCGGTCGACCCAATCAATACCTCTGTCAGTACTTAAAGTTCTAGGGAAAGTTGTACGTCATGCGTTCAGCTTCACGATTTAATTACGTCTCGTGATACTTAATTTGTTCATTTATTAACGAATCGTTGTAATTTTCCCTATAGCTTGAATTTCTTAAGTGTAAGCTAGAAACACTTGCATTTTTGATAAAAATAAGTGGAATTGAGTGGGTGTTCGATAGTGGTCGCGCTATTAGAACTCTGAATTCAAAAATCGATATCTCGAAATCTATTAGAAATAATAAATTGTAGTTTTTTCAAGAACTTTGTTAATATTTCTGCTGTATTTTCTTTGTAGACAGTATGTGAAAATCTTTATCAATAAAAAAATTACACGATTGCTGAAAATTGCTATGCTCTAAAAGTAAATGGATGGATTGTTTACAATTTTTAAATAGAAAGAACAACTTTATCGAATTTTTCTTATGTGAATATATTGTAAAATATCCGGTCTTGAAAATAAAATAAAGTTTCAATATCTAAAGTGGTTCTTGAGTTATGGCCTGTTATGTGTTAAAAAGTTAAGTTTTTAAATTATCGCGATTACTGACGTTTTCTCATTATAATAAAAATGGCACCCTAACGATATCCTTATAATTCCAAATGCTCAGAAACATGTCTAATGATTTTATCTAGTTATCTCTTGAAAAAAAAGTATTTTAAAAATAAGCGGTTTGCCATCGTGATTTTACTTTACTTTTCTCTCACTCCGACTTAATAAGATCCCTATGCGATTTACTTCCACACATGTAAATGCCGACCCAAAAGTAACAGTTGCCAGCACGGTATAACGATATACAGGGTGGTCCGAACTGAATTCCGGAAACATATTCTGCAGATAAAAGTAAGTAAAAAAATCGTATAAACGTATGTCCGAAAATGCTTAGTTTTGGAGATACAGGGTGTAGAAGTTTCAGTTTTATTTCGACTTTTTCCAAATACTCTCTGAAGTAACGTCAATATTTGTATGAAAATTGGTACCTGGAAGTTTCTTGACATGGGAAATTTGATTTTGATGTCATGACTGTTTTGAAGAGTAATAACTTTTCGTCAACACCCTGTATAACTCAAGAAAGGGGGACACAATGGGTCGCGTTGATTAAATTCCTACCTCTTATACAATCTACATCTACCTCTCTTTTTTTACGTGATCCCTGTAGAATGCGTTCTTATATAGGATACCGGTATATTAAATGTTTTCCTTACACATGTAATTTTGCATTTTATCATCCTCATTCATCAAAGTTTTTATAAATGTTCTATTCATTATACCACGTTCTTGTCTCATTACTCCACTTATTTCCACATTACTTTTAATTCCTTCACCTTCATTTTATTTAAATAAACCTAGATAAGCGCAATTTGATTAAAAAACAACCGCAACCGTGTCAGTAGGGCATAATTCAAGCCAATTTTTCCCGCCATTATCAGTCATTTTCTGGAAAATTGCCCTCCAGGATAGGAACTGGATCGGGGCACTACTTTTCTGGAAATTCCAGAGAAGAAAACAGCTGTATCGTCCGATAACATCGTAATTGGTCCGTTCGGTGCATGATACCGTTGCCATTTTCCGACGGTATATAGAGCTATTTGCATAAAAATCCGGGGTTTAATAATATATCCGGCAGTGGAGAACACGCGGAACAGCTTGTTCGGGCTGTGTGTTCGTTTTTTTGTGTGCTCGGGAGATATTGTCGAAATATGGCGGATATTATCACGCTAGTCCGGCGGGCTGGAGGTCGGAATTGAGTTTCTGACTTCATAATTTTCGGCCAGATGCTTTAAAATAATTTCTAAAGGGAGGTTTACATTAGTATTAATTAAATAATTGGTAGTAGAGTTCAGTAGCATACATTTTAGGGTTCCGTATCTCCCTTATAGGATAATTTTTAATTTAATATATCACTATATTTCATTTCACACATTTTTATTATTTTTTGAATAAAGTGTTACATTTGATATATATATATATATATATATATATATATATATATATATATATATTTATTAAATCGACGGAGTCAGACCCAGTACGTTTAAGATAGGCCGTCAGACCCGGGGTATATCGGACGAAAAATGTTCAAGCGATGCCTTCAGGCCCTGATGCTGGACCGTTTAATTTGTCCCAGTTATATAAAAAATAGAGGTTTATTCGTTTTCGCCAGACCCACGACGTTGCCGCTTTTAATTCTCAAATATTTATATTAGAATTAGACGAACGGACCTTTTGACGCGGTAATTGATCACAGTGCAGAAGTAAAAACGGTGCATTTCTGCTATAGTGAATATTATTGTACTTATTGTTAGTATTAGATATATTCTGTCTTATAAATGCATCTGTACGAAAGCGTTTTTATCTGAAATTTCTTTGTAATAAGCATAATCAAGTTACAATGCATTATCAATTTCGTTTAGTAGATTTTGTAAGTGTTTACTAAGTGATGATGGAGAGAACCCCGTTTATTATCTTTATACTTTAAAAGAAAAAAAGTTTAGCTACTTCTACAACGAAATCATAGCATCGAACTAAATTTTTAGATACTCGTACAATTTTTTGACACGACGATCGATTCCGACAAAAAAAAATTTAGTTACTACTACAATGATATCGTAGCATCGATATAAATATTTAGGTAGGTACTTGTACAATTTTTTGACACGACGATCGATT